AAAAAAAAATTATGTATTATATTTATGTATACAATATATACAAATTTTATATTAAATAATTGATGTATTACATTTTAAATTTGGACTACATGCAAATGTGTAATGTAAATATAATTTATTTAATTTATGTATGAATCTTTATATTGATGCCATAAATTTTAATGGCTAATATAATTTAGTAATTTAGAGAGACCATACAATTAATTAGTTAGAAAAGTATTACAATTATTTTTTTATCATTGGTATAGCATTTGTTTATGTGATTTTAAGGTGTTTAATTATGACACTCATGCCAATTAACTTATTAGATAAAAATCGCTTAAAAAGAACAAAAATATTTTATTTTAGAAAAAGTATTTTAAAGAAAAAAATTGCAATACAATTTTTTATAAGTATGTAACTTCCACATACTATTTAATGTAAAGTTGTAATCAATTAGTGTTAGTAGTGAATAAATTATATTAAAATTATTATTACACCTTATTAATGTAAAATGTAACGGTTCTACATTAATTGAGAAAATGAGCGGGAAAATGAATGGAGATTTTATTAAATGTTTTATTAAATTCTATATGCCAGCAATTATATATATATATAGATTAATTGTTTAATGTGCATCATATTTGTTTATGGGATGTACATATTAGACATGTGCATAATATTTATTGATTGAGTGTGCACTTTAATTATCTAATATGCATAATAATTAATTAGTGGCTTATTTCGCATAAGAATTAATTATGTTAATTAAGTAAGTTTCTTTATTTGCATGATCATTAATTATGGGAAATGAATATTAGGAGATTTCTTGTAATCTATATCTATTCTATACTTATATTAAAAGTCATACTATTTACCAAAAATAGTAGCAAAAAAATCAACTCACATTTAATGCATACTTTATTTAGAAATATTTTACTATATGCATTAATTGCTTGCATATATACATTTCTTATTCAAATATGATCAAAAAGATTCTTTCCTTAAATAATTTTATTAACTTCTACAATGATTTTGCTGATATATAATATAATTCATATTTGTCGATAGTATTTTTTAATTTTTATTTGAGTATATAGAAAACAAATATTTTTTTAAACTAATATTTTATTTATCATTTAAGAGATAATGATAACATCATTAAATGATATTACTGATGGCTAGATAATAAATTAAAATACATTAATTATTCAATAAAATTTTGGCATGTTATTTATTTGTATCTATACTTATTATATAAGGTATCTTATTTACCAAATTTAGTAGATTGAAAAGACAACGTAATTAATACATTGCTATTTCTATTCAGAATTTTATTTAATTATTTTATTTATTTGTCTTATATCCCATAAAATCAGTTTAAGAAAAAAAATCACATAACATCTGACAAGTAAAAAAAAAAAGACGTAAAATATTTACTAAAATAAAACGACTTTATTTATTTGTCTTATTCCATATTAACATCGATTTTGTCAAAATAAATCTCCTAAAATCAATGAAGTCAAAATTTGTACGTAAAGTCTATCTATCCAAAAAAAAAAATGAGATTCAAAATTCCATATCTAATTCCTTCTTTTTCTTATCTATTTTTTTTTTTCTTATCTAATTCCTTCTTTTCCTTATCTAATTGCTTTTTATTATCTAATTGTATGAAAATCTGTTCTGATTTTGTTCAATCCTCTAATTGTATTTGTATTATATTCCATAAAATCGGTTTAACAAAAAAAAATCTCATAACATCGGATAAGTAAAAAAACAA